CAGTAGCAAACTGTGGCCACAAGTAATTTAAAAGATGGATGCAAACAGGCAAGAAGCTTCATGCAATACAGTAGATAAACAATTGAAATAGCTATCTTAAATTAAGAATAAAAAGTTAGAATAATTATCTAAAAATATGGAAAGCAGATGAAAATGAAACTTTAAGTATTGTTATATTATTATATTATATTATATAACAGTATAGATAAACAAGCACAATACTTGTCAAAACAGAATGGACACAGTTGAAATAGCTAGCTAAAAAGTGGGAAATATTTAGCTGAAAGTATTTCTAGCAGTTGGAATTGAAACATTTGTATCAAAGGTTGAAGTAGCTTGATAAAAAGTATAAATCAACAATTTTGATTTTAGCTAGTAGTATGGCTGAACAAGCACAATTTAACCCAATGGATACACTGTTAAAAGTAGTCATTATATATACTGGAGAGCTGTTAAATGGAGTAGTAGCTGGTCATGCCACCAGTTCAGATAATACAATTTCTCGATAAACTCCTAAAAGCAGATATCGAAGTCGCCTAAGTTGACTTCATAATAACCGGTTTTCTGAACTAGAGGTTTTAGTCTTTCCGTTCTAAACTGGCATACATGTTGGGTCATTTTGTAGATGTGTAACAAACATTTCCTCTGACGGTGTGGCTAACAGATGGCGTGTATAGTCATGCATGGTCAGAAGCTTTGTTTTTATGCTTTCTGTACAATAGGATGTCTCGGCTAGAAATCCATCCTTAGCTCCAGAGGTGTCTGTTTCAGGTCTCCATTTTTTTTGTCTCTTTGTTTTTACATTTCCATCTCTCTCTTTCTCTCACTCTCTTTTTCTCCCAATATTCCCCCTCCACTCGCTCTCTGCCTCTCATCTGATATACCTTTGGGTCATCGCTGAAGGATAAATCAGAACGTTTTTTTCATGGTGCTGACAAGCAGAAAACTTTGTTTGAGAGGGTTCATATAGACATTAGGAGCTGCGTATAGCAGTTTAGCGATGCAAAATGTGCAGGATTGCACAACCGCGTGTGCATGATTGCACTGCATACAACACACTGCATATTTAAAGAAGACACAGCAAGCTAGCAGTAAAGTAGCAGTAGACTAGCCAGCGTTTTCCAGAGAATTACTGTAGCTTCTCAGCTTTGTCATCCTTTGTTGGCCTGTCTGTTAAGGCCATTGGATAACAGGATGTAAATAAGACTGCTGTCTGCAGGTGTCTGTGCTTCTTGTTCACCTCAGAGATATGTAGACCACCACCCGGCTTCACAGACACACGCATAACAACACTCTTGAATCTGCACGACAGCTTCAAATCTACCCACTGCAAAACATAGCCAGGCAGCAAGAACTGTTAACATCTCTAAAATTCTTTTTGTGCCGACCACAGGAACCTGTAATCTCCTCTTCCCTGAAGGAGAAAGTAATGCTGTATTGCAAAATGGAGTCTGTAGGTTAAAGTGGAGGACAGCACATACAGAAAGGCACCCTGGCTTAAAGTATGGAGGGTAAATTAAAGATGAGCATAGGCAAACATTCCCCCACCAAGCTGTGGGCAAGTTAAACCTCGGTGTGCCTCTGGTTTTCTGTGTAAAGCTGCAGATCCCTGCTTTGATTAATGTGAACTTGCTAAACTACAGTCTGAATGCTGGCATAGAACAGTATGTCGTGTATTCACAGCTATAGGTGGAAAATGCCGATATTCCCCTCATGAATCAGTAAAGATAATTTAATCTAAACTAATCTAATCTACAAATGCCATGAGGTCAGGCTTGTGAACGTTTTGCCCATAACTGTCCGTGGTTCTTCTGTTAAATTTGATGAGCCCTTTGAATAATGAATATAACCACATTCATTCAGATGGTTGGAACAAAAGGTGTGTTAGCTTTTTTCCCCCTTTCCTTTCCACTTGATCTGGGGGCTGAAAGAACAGTACAGAGTGGAAAAAATAGGAATGCAAAGGGTAAAACGGGTGCAAAGAAATAGAAAAGAGATGATATACAGTAAAAGCTTTGCCGGCATAGGGCTGCATCTGCACCCAGTGTCTCCCACCACTCTCTCTCTCTCTCTCTGCTCTATTTATATCTCTCTGGGAAATTGCTGAGTGGGCTCTACTGAGGGTTTTTGCTGTAATTGATTCAAAATGCAAGTTGTCTCTTTAGTGGTGAGAAAGAGGAGAAAAGGATACCCAGTCAGTTATACGGACAGTGTGTGCATGAGGGGAAGACGAGGCTTCTTGCGTTTCAAACTGGATAAATTGGTTGACCACTGTAATAAATACAGTGTGGTCATTACTGGGGCCTGGGTGAAATCGCCAGAGAGCTTCTTTCATCCTATAATAACTGTAATGGGGCCACACCCATGATATCATAAAACTGTGGTCAATTGTTATGATCCATCTACAGCATATGTGCACTGCAGCTGAATAAGATATTCTATAACATGTCTATTTTTCATTTGACTGCAGTAAAAGCTGATCTACTATCAATTACAGCAATAAAGAGATTACATCAATTATTTCCAGCTGGGTAAAAGCCTCGACACCATTATAACACACAATTTAAGACATTTCTGGATTTGAAGCACTCTTACAGAGATTTTTTTTAAATTTTCAGAAAGGCATTATTTAAAATTGGGGTCCTGTAGTGTTTTAGTGAGTGAATGAAGATTAATATAAGAATGTCAAAATCAATATTTAGCCTCCAAATTACCAATAACTGGCATGCGTCAATTTTCTAGTTGCTGTGATGCAGCGAGGAGCTGCAGTTTCAGTGTTGTGAGTTTGATGGCTGATGCCAGAATATGAATCACGTTTAGCTCGTGGTATTGCTGACAGCTCGCCACCCATCCAGAAACTAAACACCACATTCTGCAGCTGCATGTAAACTGTTGCTGTTATTTATGCCCAAGAAATACCAAAACCTATTCCACCCATTTTCATGCTCACACACTGTGGAAGGCTGTCTCTCTCTGTCTGCGCGCTCTTTCATTTTTTAGACTTGTGGAAAATGCTTTGGTTTTAAGCGTGTGCCATGATTACAGGTCCTCGTTTCTTTATGATTTATTTATGGAGTACATTTAAACATCGCATTACACAGAGCAGGGACACTGCATTTAATGGAAAATGCATGACTAACGACCAGCATGACTCAAACAGGGAGGCCTGCCTTTCCAGCCGCTGTAGAGACGCACCCAAAGAGAATTACTGTCCTGCAGCTAACCTTTGCCTTTTAGAGCATTTTTCGTATCTTTCAGCTCTTTATTTTGGTTTGGAGTCTAACCTTTGTGTTGGCTATGCATTACTTATATTACACTCATTAATACATTTGAGGCAGGAGATGTGTGTGTTATATGTGTGTGTGTGTGTGTGTGTGTGTGTGTGTGTGTGTGTGTGTGTGTGTGTGTGTGTGTGTGTGTATTAGTTATTCTGTAAAAAAGTATCTTAGTGATTAACGGCCATCAGTATGTCACATTTTATTGTGTTAGCTGGTTAGCTCAGCTAAGCTACCTGAGTGCAGTTATAATTTCTCTTCCCACAAATTTTTACTAGTGCTGTCAGCGTTAATCTCATTAAAATTACATTAGCGCCATAACCGCATTAACGCGGCAAATCTCCATTAGCAATTTAGCGCAGATTGCCCCATGCGAGGGGCGGTACGGTGCTAATACGTTAGCGCCTTTAGCTTGTTAACGCGTTAGCGCCTGACAGGACTAATTTTTTACATTTCTGTTGTTTAGTTCTGTTCGATATAATAGGAAAACACTGAATTAATCACTGAAAACAATCTTTCCCTTGCTCGAAAGATCATCCAGCCAGCACTGAAATCAGCTGAATTCACCAAAAATAATTAAAAATAAAGTAACAGTTGCCTCAAAGCACTTTGTATTGCAAGGTAAAGATGCGACAATATTAGCAAGAGAGAAAAGCCCAGCAGCCAGACGATCCAGTATGTGCAAGCACTTGGCAAAAGAGGGAAGGAAGAACTCTCTTTTAACAAAAAAGGTAAACTGTAGCTAACTTTGGAGTCTTTAGCTCTGCATCTGCTACCTATGTATGCTCAGGGTACAGTCACTGTGTTTGCATCCTCTTTACCAAAAAAACTAAAATGTAATTGACGAGAAAAACATGGCGGACCAAACATCAAAATGACCATGATCAGAAAGGCAAAGAGTAAAGTGAGGCACAAAATCACAGACGTTTACATGCTAGCTCCTCCTCTGGGTAGAGCATTTATTGAAAAGAGCTCAGCATGATAAATGATAAAACGTGTTCCACTAACAGGGATTTCACAGATTAGCATCCGATTACATCATATCATCCTCCTGCATTTTTTCAAACAACTCACTTTCTTGTTTATATGTGTAAAAACAGCCCAGAATTATATCTGCTGGCTAACATATAGATCCTGCATCGGTCTTGAGTGGAGACCACTGTAAACTTACAGGTTTGGACACAATCAGGTTCATGACTGCTGTGTTTTGTTAATATGTTTGCATATTATATAATGGTTAATAAATTGTTTTAATACATTTCTCCAGTACAACGAGTGGGAGTCCATAAAGCAGTTGTTCATGTATGCATTTTGTGGGTGTTGTCTACACCTGTGTTTGTGTGTGAGAGGGGTTGGAGGCTAACGGCTGTGCGTTTGACCCCTCCTATCTCCTGCACCACCATCACACAACCCCCACGACTGTGATGATGTCTGAACTGTAGCAGTGATGTCATATTGATGGCGGTGATGTCACAGTATGCAGGTCATCTCTCTCTCTCTCTGTCTCTCTCTTTCTCTCTTTCTGTACTTGGTGGATTGTGATGTTTCTAATCCCTCATCTCTCTCCTCTCCTACGTCTCCCTCCTTCCCTTCCTCTCTCCCCCTCTTATCTATCTGTCCTTGTGTCTTCCTCCTCCTCTCTTTCCTCCTGTTTTATCCTCTCTCTTCCCGCTGTAACTTTAACCTTCCTTCCCCTCCCTCTGTGTCTCGTTTTCCCTCCATCAGGTGTCCCAATGACTATACGGGGGACCGCTGTCAAAACTCCGTCATGGCCAATTTCTACAGTATGTCCATTTGCTCTTGTCTGTCTCTTTCCCACTGAGATGCTGCATGCTACATTGGAGGGGTTGAATGGAGGGAGTGTATGCGTGTGCGTGTGTGTTTGCATACCTGCTCGTCTGTTTAATGTGAGTTATCGTATGTATGTGAACGTGTGTGTGATGTTTGCATGATTCTGTGTCCACCCTTTTCTCTCCCTGTCTCCCCTGGTTCCTCTGTGGTGCCCCTCTAGTAACCAGAAGCAACCACTGTAGGGATATTTGCATCTATTTTTCCTGCCAGCTCACCTGCTTGAAACCCTATTTAAAGTACGCTGGATCTACAAAACAGTTCCAAAATAAACAACTTAATAAGCATTATGCCTCGTCTTACAGCTTAAAATTCTGCACATCAGTCATGTAAATTACACCCAAAAGTTCTCGTGCTGCAACTTGATCCGGAGGCTTGCACTAAAAGAAACAGAGGAGACAGAGAATTAACATAATGAGCAACACAGGAGGTTGAAGTTATTTGCTTTCGTTGAATCGCTTTGTCACTTTTCTTTGTAGATGATCCATTGGTGCCGCTTGTTTTGGAGCAGCAAAAAGAGAAGCCAGAATTGAGCAATCAAGGCAAAACTATGTGGATAGAATCTATTAGCAGAAAAATCTTGGATCGATTTTACATTTTGGAAAGTTGAGTCCTTGCAACATTGTTTTGAACAGCTGCCAGTTTTTGTTAACAGTGACAATGTGCCCAAAATCCCAACAATTTGGCAAGTGAATGGAAATAAGATTTAGAGTTTGAATGTTTCAACATTTTAAGTCTTCAGGTAATGATGTTTGAAAGCACCATTCATCGTCATTCAACCGAGGGCCTGTCTCAGTGTGTATTGATCTGACTTTCTTCAAATGACATCTTAGAGGTTATTTCTTCTGACGGTTAAGAGCTTATGATATACTGTGTATATACTACCACTACAAGCACCCATGGATCATCCGATAAAATATTTTTATGGCATATTGCTAAACGCTGCTTGAACTTTTCATGTAGGGTTCACTTCAAACACATTCAGAAATTGTCACATAATTTTTGAATAAATTGAATATTTTAACATTTGGGAAATTTTCTTATTTGTTTTTCTGAACAGAGCTATAAGACTATTACCACTCATGTGATACAGATACATTAAATATAAACCTATAGCCAAGATAGCTAACAAGTTAGCGTAGCTTAGCACAAAGACTGTAAGCAAAGGGAAACAGCTTGCCTGGTCCTGTCCACGGGTACCAAAATGTTACTACCACCAAACAGTAAAGTGTTATAGTAAATTAAATTGTTATATATTTACTGTGTAATTGTAAAAAATAAAGTAAAAAACTGAAAGTTGTGGGGTTTTGATGCTAGTAGCAGTGAGTTACTGGAATATTGTTATTTACAGACAAACAGTAGAGCTAAGAGGTTAATGTTTTTACCTTTTAAATTATTTAGTGTTGAACAGAGCCAAGTAAGCTTTTTCTAAAATGTTCCAGTCGTTATACCAAGTTAGGCTAAAGATTCTTGTATCAGTCCTCTTTGTAAGTTGCCACTATGGCTTATATCCCCTCAGTTTTACCCTTTAAAAGACTTCCCTTTTACGGTCATGTGGAAAACAAAGTACTTCCTTTCTGAGGTTTCATGTATCAGGACTTAATAAAAACTACATGGGTCTTAGCTGGTTCTAAAATTATTAACATACAATAACAACTACATATGTCATATTACACTATTCATTTATCAAAAAGCAAAATGCAGAAGCACTCAGTGAAAAGGAAGTGAAAAACTAAGTAATCATTTTTCCCTTTTTCAGCAGTTTGGTTGTAGTTTTGCTGCTGTGCTTGGATTCACTGTTACATGACCCAGTTTCTGCTTTAGCTGTCAGGCAGATGGCCTCACATTTGACTCTAGGATACTTTGGTATAGAGAAGAGTTCACAGATGACTCAATGAGTGCAAGGTCCCCACGTCCTGAGACTGCAAAACAAACCTAAATCCTCATCCCTCCTCCACCGTGCCTTACAGTTGCTATGAGGTGTTTGTGCTGCTGTGCTGAGTTTGGTTTTCTACAGACATGGTGCATTGTTGCCAAACATCTCCACCTTGGTCTCGTTTGTCCAAAAGACATTGTTCTGGACGTCTGGAAATCTAAGCCGTACTGCCTCGCTCTCTTTACAGAAAGGAGGCTGTCTCCTGGCAAAACATGAGACTTGTTCAGTTTTCTAATTGTACTGTAACAAGTTAACATGCTAACTAAGGCCTTTAGAGTCTGAGATGTAGTTCTTGTGTTTTTTGCAGTTTCTCTGACCATCACATACTCTGACCCTGGGGTGAATTAGCTTTAATGTCCACTCCTGGGAAGATTGGCAGCTGTCTTGGATGTTTTTCAGTTGTGAATAATCTTTCTGACTCTAGAATGATGGACTTCAAATTGTTTGGAAATGAGCTTATAGCCCTTCCCAGACTGATAGGCAGCAACAACTGCATCTTTAAGCTGATCGAGATTTTCCTCAATACCAGACCCGCAAACTGCCAAAATGTAGCTTTTATAGTGGTGCTCACACTTGCTGATTATCAGTTTTTCTGGTGCATTTGATTAGCTGCACCTCTGGTGCTTAACCTCTGAACTCCTAATTCCTTAATTAGGAATTAAGGAATTCCCTGCTTCTGCATTTTGTCTTAGATTTTGTTAAGTAAATAATAACACAGTCTAATATGCCACGTGTTGTTGTTCATCTGAGCTTATATTTACCTAATTTTAAAATCTATCAAGAACCAAATGACTGTTTTTCGATGACTGTAAGTCTAAATTTAGGTGAAGAATAAAAGGTGAAAGGTCGTATTCACATAGACTTGAATTCCACATATTTTCACCAGCCTGCCCACTGAGTGATTATCTGCGTATTGCATTACCTTCAAGGCAAAAATCAAATTAAGTTATGTTCATACAGTGCATGTACCGTACAAATTTATTAGAGCGCCACCCAAGGTAAGTTTTTGCTTAAGCACTGATGGCTAAGCACTTTGATCGAAGTTATATTTTTTAATACTAAAATATAAATACTGCTTATATCTCTGAATTTTCAAATTTACTGTTAAAAAAATCAGAAAAAATATAAAATGCATTAATATTTTTGGTTATTTGGTTATTTTTACTTAGAGTAAATTACCTACACTTCTGAACACACAGTGTGCAGCCCCAAACACAAATTTAGTTTGTTATTTTCCTAATAAATAGCATTATCATTTTTGGCAGTTTTTCCTTGTTTTCATAAGAGGTGGGCTAATAAATTCAGTGTTTACTGACAGCAAGAAGGTTCTGGGTTAAATTATGCGTTTTCAGAGGAGTTCACTACGAATTCAGACTGATGTGCAAACAGATGTCTTTTCAGCAACCTAAGAATACGACTTTTCACCTTTTCCTTTTGAACCAAATATCAGCGTTGTTTAGACGTCTGTCAGGGTCGTCTTTTCAGTGTCTTTTCAAAGAGGTTTTTGCTGGGTGGGATGTAACGTGCGAAACTCCCGTTCCCCTGCTCTCATTTTTCATTTGTGACAACCAAGCGCAACGCTCCGAATGTCTTCCTGGAGAGACAGGACTGTGTCGTCCCCTTCTCTCCGATCGTTTGCATTTTTGCTCCAATCAGCAATCAAAACATATTAAAAACACGACCAGTTTCCACATAGCCAAACCCACTTGCACAGGAAGTCAAATATGTGGATTTCCCAAAATGTTGAACACTTGTTTAAATCAGAGGGATGAAAGAAATGTGTTTGGTCATTCTCCTGTGATTGCATGGGCAGTGATAGCGAAACACAGTCGGCCAATATTGGCACAGGCACATAATTAATGGGATGAGATCTCTGCTTAAAGAATGAACAGTTTTAAAGTTAGCACCTGGCTTCTTTTGTACAGAAACAAACGAGCTCTTTCTTGTAGCTGCCCAAGCAATCACACCGAGATAAAACTTCTTGTTTCCAGGGGTTATACAGTGTTGCTTCACGTTCATGTTGTGCTTTTGTTTCTGTTTGTCTATTGCTGAAGTTTCCATACTGAATAATGTCACATTTAAAGCAAGAACAGGTTTTATTGTATGTAACGTGTGCTTATTTTTGACCCCACCATCAAGCCTTGTGTTCATGCTGAAGTCTGTCTGTGTTTTCTTTTGCACTGTGACGGTGAAGGAACACCCTCTGCTGTTTTAAATCAATTTGTGTCATTTTCTAGCAGTATTAACACACAGTGCTCAAGGTTACAGAAGTTAAAAGTTAGGGTGGACTGTTCTGGCCAGTAATGCATGTGAGGCCAGAAATATTGGGAATGCTGAGATGATCTCTCTGTAAATCCTATGAGAGTCTCTAAGAGCAGCGTTATACAGAAGGTATGCTGTAATCAGTACAAAGGCACACAGTTGCCATTAGGCGAATGAGTTACAGCACCCACCCCCATTTGTTGTGTCGGCCTCATCGACTGTACTGTGTTTTTATGTTGGAGAGAAACTCACTGCTTTTATCGTTTGTTTTCTTTACTTTTTTGTCTTATTTTTTGTCCTTTTTTATTTTGTTTCTGTCCAATGTTGTTTACTCCAGAAATGAGGTCTAGTAAATATAGCAGTAAGTGATGTGGCTTCTTGTCTTGCTGTCTTTGTCAGTCTTTCTCTGCATGCCTTTTCCTGCCTGCTGTTTCTCTTTCCTTCTGCTTTTGGTTCATTTTCTCCCTTCGTGTTTGATTTCTGCCTGTTTTTTGGCTTCGTTTGTTTGGGTTTTTCTTTTTTTGTTTAGTTTTTCCTGTCATTTCTGGGGATCACAGAGCTGAGGCTGTCTGAGTTGTCTGTCTGTTACTAGACGGTACGCGTGTCAGTCACTCTATAATTAACTTATATCCTGGTTCAGCATATGCAGGACATGGAAATAATATATCTGCTCCAAAGTGGACATTACACCTGACCCTATGTGTCTCTTTCCTTTTACCACGACAACTTTCTGCGCTGGCAGAGCTTCTCAGAATTGAATTTATGGGTATGGAACATTATTATTCATTTTGCTGTGCTTAAAGGATGTGCCAAGATCCTCTCACAGTCACACATTATTGTGCCATCTTCTCTCTAAAACCAACAACTGGGTCTCTCACAACCTGTCCTTCTTTTTCTCCTGCCCACTAACTTGGTTTTAAGACACCTAACCTCCCGTCTTTGCATGCACTCTTCTTTTTTTGGTGTAACAACACTAGAGAAAGAGACAAATTCATTGGGAAGGGATACAATAATAAGAGAACGTGCAGAGGTGCATTCAAACTCAGTGTAAGGGGCTCCTGATACGACTCCAAACTGTTTATCTGGACACCATATCAGAAAAGCAAAAAGCTGCCTCTTTGCTCCAAAAGAAAAATCAGCGAATGTTTTGCATCATTGATAAATACAAGTAACTGGCTCGTCCGCCGGGCTTTGGCAGTGTGCATATTGGTTTCAGCAGCCCGTCGAACAAAAACATGCAAGCTACGAGCATTTTTGCAAAGCACTGCCAAAAGCCAGCAAAAAAAGCCTGACTACATAGTCTGTCCTTATTATTATGCCCTTGATTGACTCAGTGTCAGAGTCAAGAGCTTGCCTGTCCTAAATCACGATCGCTGCTGGCCCCACTGTGCCAGCGAGCTTGCCTTCCCATTTCCTTTTGCCTTTCTGTATCAGTACCCTGTGACACACACACAATGCCGGGCCGAGGCTCTCGTAGGCTCGTCAATCCCTACAGAGGCCCTTTATTTAAAGACTGTCCTCGTGCCCCCCCCCCTTTCCCTTCTTTTCAGTGGCGTGTCTAGAGTTTTTGTTTTGTTTTGTTTGGCAGGTTTAATGATAGGTTTCAGGCACCACTGAACGGCATTAGTTTTAATGTAAACTGAGAAGAAACTCATTTGAACAAACAAATATTTGTGTTGCAGAAGATTTAAATGGTAAATGGCCTGTATTTGTATAGCGCTTTACTTAGTCCCTAAGAACCCCAAAGCGCTTTACACTACATCTACACCCATTCACACACACATTCACACACTGGTACAGCTACATTGTAGCCACAGCTGCCCTGGGGCGCACTGACACTGATTTAGGTTGATGAAAACAAAAAGTTACTGTTAGTTACTGTTAATTTGGCCGTAACTAACAATGCAGTGACCTCGATAATCCAGTTAGTTGATAAGGGGACAAAGTCAGGTCAGTCTTTGGTTCCCGCAGGCCTCTTTCTTCTCCTGGGCCTTTTTCCTGGACACGCCCCTGCTCCCCTTGCAGCCTCTTTCCTTTCCCTCTGTGTATTTCCTTCTGCTTCCTCCTTTTTCACCACTTTGCTTTTCCTGCTTTTATTCCCTCTCTCTTCCCTCTCACGTTCTGTTTATTTGTTGCACTGTGTTTTGTGCTTTTCGTTCTGACACAGAGTGTTACACCGCAGCAGCCCCCAGAATCTGAATTGGATTCACTACAAGATTCACGCGCCATCACCATATTGTGTTATGAACTAAATAAAGTTTAATGTGATCCACGGGGACTTCCACACCTGTACTGTTGAGTCCGTTTAAATTGAAATTGGTTACTTTCCCAATGTACAAGAACTCTTGCAGGAGATTTGCACGTTAAAGAAACAGTATAGTCGTTCACAGTTTTTCCCAAGAATATGAGCTATGAATTAGATTATTGTAAAATTGTAAAATAACAAAATAAACACCATAACACCATGGGTGCTATTTAAACCTTTTTCTTTGATAAAAATGTTTCGCTTTTTAGCTTCAACTTAAGGTTAAGGTGGTAAATTGTGACATCGCTGTTGGGCTGTAATAGGTCACACCACCAGAGGGCAGCAAAACATTCAATCTGGTGTCAACTTGTTTTAATTCAAAAAATCCTGTGTTTGTGATGCTGATGGCGAGCTATGTGAATACCAAACTTTCATCTGGTTCTCGGGCCGCTGTGGTGTTAACCCTGATTTTTTTTTACCCCATCTTGACAACTTGTCTCGTGTGACTCCATTCATACAGGCATGGCATCAGATCTTTTCCAGTGCCATCTGTGGCATTACATCCCCATGGCCATTACAAACTTGTTTAAGACAGCAGGAAGTCTGTGCCAGGTTGTAGGTTTACATCTCAGCTTTTCCTCATGATAGTCGTGAGACTGTATAATTACTCCTCTTTGTTGTGTAGTACTGTGTGACTGCAAGAACGTTAAAAGTCCAAGGCATGTGATTTGATAGAACAGAGACAGCACAGGGACACGATGACAGCAGATCATAGTGAGGACAACAGTTTCTTTAGTTGCCATAGATGGGATAGTGCTCATGCTGTATGTGTGTGTGTGTGTGTGCGCGTGTGTGCGTGTGTATTTTTGGTATGGTAAAATGTGCGTTTGAATGTGTGTGTATGTGTTTGCATATTTGCATCCACAGAGGCTGAGGAGCTCTACCAGAGGCGGGTGCTGACGATCACAGGCATCTGTGTGGCGTTGTTAGTGGTTGGCATCGTTTGTGTGGTGGCCTACTGCAAAACAAAGTATGTCTTTGAAGCAAAAAGAAACAATTCCACCGTATACAAAAGACTCAAAACCTTTGAATTAACCCTTAAGTTAAAAGCAAAAGTGCCATTACAAAGACCTAAAAGTACTCTATTACAATCAGAAGCCTTATATTGCATGCATGTTAAGTAACTTTGACTGAAAGCATTTGTTCTGCAGAAATTGTCCTCTGGAACTGAAATATTATTAATTAAGACATTATTAGAGTGCTCTATTTAAAGAAAAAAAGAAGCTGCATCTTTATTTGTGAAAAATTTGTACTGTGCAAAAATCTCAAACCACTGTATTCTGCTAGGAAAAATAAGTGCTGCGATTTTCTAAAACATTTGCAAAATTAAACGTAAATGCAGTGCATAAGACAAAAAGAAATCCCAATGCGCTTAAAAGCCAATATTTGATATTACCACCTTAATTTAAGTAGTCTTCAGGAATAGTTCTCCAAGCTTCTTGAAGGACATTCAAAGCTCTTCTTTGGATGTTTCTGACTTTTGCTACATTCTCTGTCAAGATGGTCCCACACTGCTTCAGTAAAGTTGAGGTCTGGGCTCTGGGGAGGCCAATCCATGCCTGACAGTGTTTCATTGTGTGTTTTTTATCCACTATGCTTTTACTATACTAGCAGTGTATTCAGGATCATTAACATGTGGAAAAATGAAGCCATTTCTAATCAGATGATTTCCCAATGGTATTGCATAATGGATGATAATGGTGTTCATACTTCCAGCAGTTATGACATGATTCCCAACACCACCGACTGAAATGCAGCCGACACTAAGACAGAGCCTCCACCGTGTTTTACACATAACTCTAGACACTCACTGTCGTCCCGCTCTACTGACGTCTTCCATATAGGATACATTTGACAATCATTTGAACCAACAGTTTCAAGTTTGGCTTCATGATTCCATCACACCTGTTGCCACTGATCCTCAGTCCAGCTCTTATGTAATTTTCGGACTTTATCCGTTTCACCTTGTTTTCCTTCCTTAATGGCTTCTTGACAGCAAGTCTTCCACTGAGACCGTTTCTGAATGGTGAAGGGCCTGTTTCTTAAGGACGTGACTTTCACATACTGTCCATAATATAGATGTTGTTTTAGGCTTGCTATTTTGTGTTTTGCCCTTTACTTGTCTAGTTTCCTCAAATTTTTCATGGACACTTTTTTAGCAAACAGATATATTAAAATTAAGTTTTTGGTGAAAAAGATTATTTTAAATTGGTCAGACTTGATCTTTTGCATAGATTCAACTAAAGAAATAAGAACGTGATTTCGTTTTGTGACAGCCTGTTTGTAACAAAGAGCGTAGAGATACAATTTAAAGTTAGTTTTTTTGCTAAGTTCTCTGTTATGTGGAAACAAAAATAAATGAAAAAGCAGCCAATGTTTGAAGAAAAACTTTGAAAAACCACGAGAAAGCTTGGAGAACATTTGCTCAAATCTATTTTTTTAAATGACTAAACTACTTAGACTTTTGCACAGTACCATATTTGAACATTGTCATCTAAATAACATGATTGGCGGAAGGCATCTTGAAACTGCTACCATCTTATAGACCAAAAAAACGCTTTTGTGCAGGCATCTTACATTGACTGTAAGTACAATAGTAATATATAAATACATTTAATTCACATTTTGCCAGCTAAATTCTATTGACTCATGTTCTACCACGTCCCCTCACATATTTTGAATTCAGTAGTAAGAGAGGACATCGGTTTGGTAGATCTCTTATTGTTCCTTCATCATCACCACCCGTCCAGGAAGCAGAGGAAGAAGATGCAGAGTCACCTACACCAAAACCAGAATCAGTGTGTGGAGCAGCCAAACCGCATGTTGGCTAATGGGCCAAATCATCCTGGCCCTGGTCCTGAGGAGATCCCCATGGTTGACGTGAGTCCAAACAATAATAACACTCAGCTGAGTGGAGCCCTAATTTTAGTTTGTTTTTGCAAATTATCATTACTTTCAGAGAAGCTGTTTAAGCTTAACTCATTCACTGCCATTGACGTCTATAGCCGTCAATTGCAGTGTATGAGTCAATGGGTTTAACTCATTCACTGCCAATGGCTGGCAGTGAATGAGTTAAGTTGAAACCAGAGTGTTTGCAACTGTAACAAATTGATTTCATTTGACTTTTTGCTATGCGATTCAACAGCAATTAATTTACAAGCATAGCTACTGATCTGATATAGCATAAAAATCCACTATATCAAAGCCCCGCAGCATTTATTAAAATAAAACCAGATATATCAGTGCTTTTAATTAAATATACCCATCCCAGAAATAGGATTTGGGTGTCAAGAAGTCCAGAAAACCCTCACATATTCATTAATGCTAATGACCGACCGAAGAGGAAAAAGACAGGAGGACTGGATGTTCAGAAACCAACAGAGACTCAGCTGGTTCATGTTCCTGCTGGAGTTTTTTTTTAGCTTCGTGACTTCGATTTAAAACTTGAGTTAAGGCCTGCCTTCAGCAAAGTGTTTATGTGAGTAAAACGGTGATTCACTGACTACATGGGGAAATTTTGGTGTCACGCAGCTAGCTACATGTTAAAGAGAGGGCAGAAAACACCTAGCATCCTGGTGGAGATACAATAGGCATGAGTCAGCATAAACGTAAAGCTGAAAACAGTGAAGAGGAAAGAGCAGAACGCCCTGATGTAGTTACATTTAAAATTCCCTGTCCATATGTTTGTTTTTGCTTTGATTTGAAGGTAACAAAACAATCAAACGCCTTTTATGTTTTATTTTTTCAGTACATCTCCAAGAGCGTCCCTACGACCGAGTGCGTGATCAGCCACGGAGCCGAGGGTGCAGGCAACTATGCAGGCAGTCGAATGTCGACCCGCTCCCACCACTCTACCACTGCCTCACATGCCTCCAGGTACACACACTGCAGTCAGGATGGACACATAATCCAAGCAAAAGAACAGGTCTCCTAATCCTTAGTCTTTGTCCACTTGGAGCACATTTTATCTTTGAGCTGTTGCAGACATTCTTGCAAACACCAAACAGATAAAGGTGGGCAGCATACTAAAACAATGTTCACACAATTCAACCCTCAGTCAAAATAATCGGATTGTTATTGGTCTGTGACTACTACATCTGGGAAATCCACTGGGGGCTGTCGTACGTACTTTACAGTGCATAACAAATTTAATAGAACATCATCGAGTGTAAGGTTCATGCCGCAGTTGCACTAATTTAACATTATTGGTTAATTACCAGAATCATTTTTTCTGTAATGGTTGATCCACCAGTTTGTGCAAGCTCTTTAATCGACACGATCACTTTAATGCTAAGATAGAATTATTGTTGTTATCCATGAATTTCAAGATTGACTGTTTTACAGTAAATGAGGAGAAGCACATTTTATTTTTAAGATTAAGATACCAAATTACAGATATATGCAATTGTTCCTACTTAACAGAAAAATGAGTTTTAGTGGTTGAATGTCACGTTTGATTTATTTTCTGATTTAAGTGTCAAAGTTTGGGTATAAAAATTGTATTTTTTCACAGGTTTTTGACAGATTTCAAAAATATTTGTGTTTTCTTTTTTATGATAAAATTGTTAAGCTCTGTAAGGAACTGCAGGATGTGCATGTACCAAGTACTTACGAATACAGTGTAATTTGTTTCTCCTGTCCTTCAAAATATTCTGAAGGTACTCATTACTTATGCACATACTGAAAGGTTTTACTCCTTTATTACCTCGTACCCACAGTACCAACAGGACCTGATAAGAATCTTATATGCAATGTTTTCCGAGGATTTGCAGAAATCACGGTCTGTGTTGTATAGTTGATACGGTCAGTTTCACTTCAAATTTTACTTTTAAAGTAAATAATTTCCTGAATATAATACAATATAATACGAACGAATGTAGCAAAGGTAACAAAGGGAAAAACAAAATGTTTTTTCTTTAAATTTACTGAAGTCATAGGATATCAACTTGTGCCACTTTGAGCTCTCGCCCTCAAGCTTAAAAGTATTGTGAAGATAAGCTTCACAATACAGGTATATAAAATACAATATAAACTGTCTGTGTGACCTTATATTGCTAGAGCTAACTAAGCAAATTGCAGCTAAAACAGAAAAGATTCTCCATAGTTGCAGATTGATTAGTCATTTCACCACCAGAGGGCAGAGTAATAACTCATTAACTGAGCTCTAACTGCAACCACAGCCACTGGGCACACCCTGTGCCCCTTATCTGTGGTACTGCCTGCTGCTTTGGCCTAGCTTGGCATGCCTGCTAGATCACTGTAATAACATCCACTCCATCTGCTATGAATAGCTTTCAGTACACGGCAAGCACATATCTGCACAACAAAGTACAGCAGCTACACGGGGTAGCTTTAACCACCTTGAACACAACACAAACGAGTCCTGATGCTCTGTTTTCATGCTTAACACAGCTGACTGTTGTGTGTCGTTGGGATCAGTGTATTAACTTCAGTCTCCCTTAATATCCCCCTTCCTCCCCGCTGCTGTCATAACCTTCTAAACTCGTCCTGCAGACACGAGGAGCACACGTGGAGCATGGAGCGAACAGAGAGTATGAACTCAGACTGCCAGTCAGGTGGGCTCTCCAGCTCTGTGGGAACCAGTAAGTGCAGCAGCCCAGCATGCATGGCGAGGAGGGCCGCCCACTGGGGCTGTACGGATGCGTCGGGACCGGGAATGCAGTACGGGGACTCCTACGATTCTCTAAGAGACTCACCTCACAGTGACAGGTAGAGAAAGTGGAAATGGTGGGCACTGTGGTTTGGAGGGAGAAGGAACTTGCTCAGTGGCTCTTAAACACTTTTTCTTGGCTGTGCTTCTTGCTACAGTAGGCCCTTTACTCTCTGGCGACACCAAGTGGCAATTAATTGCTAGGACTTTCTTTTTTTAGTCTTTTTAAGAACTATATCACCCAGACACTGTTAATAATAATGTGTAAAAAGATATAGCGGTGGTGAAGGCAATTACATTCAATTCAATTATTATTATTATTGTTATTATTATTATTGTTATTATTATATGTTTGTTGTTGTTTAGGTGATTCTACTCACCTAGTTTTGATACACAGGTGTGACATCTTTTATTTATTTTTTTCACCCATGACTTTGTAAAGAGAAGAGAAACGGGGCGACAGCAGAGTTCATCGGAACAGGAAAACCCTGAAAAAAGTTCAAAGATCAAAAACTACAACATGAAAAGCACAGACTGAGGCTGCAGTGACACTTCTCATTGTATTTAACACTCAGTTGCACTTCAGCTCTTTGCATATTATAACTTCTCTCCTCCGCGTCTGGCTCATGGATCAACAACAGTACAAGCAAGAGTGGCCCCAGGCTCGTCATACCACACACTTACACTGCCTCTATCTGACAACAGAGCTCACTTCAGACAGACGGGCTTATCTCTGGACTAGAGCGGACAGCGAGCACACTACCTCTGCTCGACCATAAAACCAGCTTTAGCTCTGCTATAGACTGGTGACCAGTCCAGGGTGGACCTCATTCCTCTCCCTATCACAGCTGAAGTAGGCTCAAGCTTCTCCATGACCTTCATTTGGTCGGAAGAAAATGAATGGATGGATGTTAATACTGCATAATAATAAATAAGTAGTATTTCAGAATATGGGACATGGATGCACAAGTAAAGCTGAATTCAGTGAGCGGCAGGAGTCATTCAGTTCTTGTTGGAGTGAATGCACATGAGCAGTAATGTCTTTTATACTCTTGTGATTGACTAAGCAGGTTTGTTGGCACATAATGGGGGGACCTGAGCCAGTTGGTTGCTTCTGTTGTTTCTGTTTGAAGTTTTTTCCTTCCATAGTTCAAAGACTTACAGATCACAATGAGGGCTGGTTTTTGTGTGTGTTATGGTGCTTTTCAGGGAACAGACAGATGTGTGACCTCTTTCAAAATATCATGATTAAACCGATGGTGCAGCTGAGCGCCTCAATAATGCAGGAGTGCACACTTACTAAGTGCATTGTTAAAGTGAGAACATTGTGTTCACCAGATATGAGCATCTGTTAAAGGTAAAAATGCACACAGTTGTGGTTATTTTTTGTGTTTTTCTAACCTCATCCAGGTATGTGTCTGCACTGACCACGCCAGCACGCCTGTCTCCTGTGGAGTTCCACTACCCCCCGCTGCCTCCCCAGGTTCCCACTTTTCAGATCACCTCGCCCAACACAAGCCACGCCCTCTCCCTTCCACCTGCTGCTGCCGCCTACCACAGAGACGATGACCAACCGCTGTTACGGTGCCCCGATGTACGTAAGCCTATATACAATATATAGTCTATATCAAAAGCACATGTCTGTTCCCCCCAGCTTTACTGTTATTGAAGATATAAAAAATTCTTTGTTTTAAAAAAAAAATCTGTTAGTTATAAGAAGAACTTAGCATGTAACCTGCAGTCTCTGTGTGGGCATTCACTGTCCCCAAGTTCATTTTCCTTATAATGTTTGCATGTTCAGCACAAACCATATGTATAATTGATTTACCAGAAGTAAACAAGCCACCATGACTAACATATTCTCTCCCTACAGCATGTGTTTGAATGCAGGCTGTACAGAGGTGTCTTTCTTTACTTTCTGTGCACCGATACTGCTGACAACAAAGCCGAGCCAAGGCTCGTGAAGTCGCATTCAACCTTCTGTGGGGTTATTGTGAAATATAATGGTTTTTGCTGTGGCACGGACAGAATAGCATCACAAAACTAGCACACAAACAGTAACTGCTGCCTAATGTCCAAAAGTCACTAAAAGATTGATGTACTAAACAGATGGCTTTGACATAGAAGACGGCTGAGCCTGGCTCTGGTTAAAAGGGAGTTTTTTCTTCCCACTGTCACCAAGTGCTTCCTCAAAGGGGCCCTGCTGATTGTTGGTGTTTTCCTCATAATATTGTATGGTCTTTACCTTACAATATAAAATGCCTCGAGGCAGCTGTTATTGTGATTTTGTGCTATATTAACTGAACTGGATTGAAAGCCAAAGGGCCTGAAGTGCCTTAAACCTGTATTTTTTTTTTCTAATTGCCAGCAGGGGGTGACTGGTTACAAACAGAAGTGTACAAAGAAAAAGGGGCTTCATCTTTCCTGATTTATGACATCATTAAACAACTTTCTTATAGCTTTATGATCTCAGTTGCTAAAATTACGTCTTGTAAAATACAACATTAACTTAATGCTTAATGTTGTAAATTATGGTCCCCAGGTGAGTAAATTGGGAGGATATTGAAGTGTAAGTTTTAGGCCAAATCCACCTTGTGATTAGCAAGCTGCTACCATGTGAGCATGCAGTCTCTTGATATACATGGTGAAGTGTGCTCAGTTGAAGGCTTCACAGCAGGATCGCCTTCTCTTGTATGCATAGGCAGACCAACACACCAGTGGGTCAATAAATTTGTTCAGCCATTCTAAGAAATCTGTGTTTTCTCTGTTTCAGGATGGAAGTTTATACAGGCAGCCCCGACGTCCTCGACGACCCTACCTGACAGAGAGCACAGGAAGTCTACCGTCCAGCCCCTACCGGCTCCCCGATGACGAGGCTTATGAGACGACACAGGAGTATGCCTCTTCACGGGAACCCATCAGAAGCCGGCGTCGCCCGCGACGCAACCGACTCAACGGACATATCTCACAGCGCTCGGCGGGTTTACGGGACTACAGCTCACAGAGCTTCAGCCAGTCAGAAGAGGAGGAAGAGGACGAGGAGGAAGAGGATGGTCACGGGGAGAGCACGCCTTTCCTCAGTATGCAGAACATGAACATGGACCCGCCTCTAAATGTCCCGGGTTTCCGTTCGTCATCCGGTGCAGACACACGGACTCACCGCGGGCTGAGTCGGCCAGGGACGCGCAGCAACGGGCAGAGCCGCGGCTCCCAGTCGCAGCGCTCCAAGGCTGACAACATGCCCCTTTAAGACTTAACCTCCCTCCGACGCCCACCATTACACCCCCGCCACCTCCCGCCCTCTCCACTTCACACACTCCCCTTCCTCTTACACACAACCCGTGGACTAGAGACCTGCACCTAGGAGAAATATTTTTATTTTGTATAACAGACAGATATTCTAAACAAATGAAATATTTATTTTCATTTCAGCAAAAATTGTCTACTAGCTAACAGCAAAGACTTTTTTTATAACGGGGGGGAGGGGATATTTATATGTAAAGTTTTTTGATTTACAGCATTATGAGAGATGAAAAAAATAAGAGAATTACGTGCCAATTTTTTCACAAGTTAGATAAATAGAATAATATTGTGGTGCCTTTTGCTGTATGCTGAAGTTGGAGGTCCCATTGAGTTTTTGTAGCCTTTCTTATAAAGACTCCTCGTTTTTATAGAGACCAACCCTCTTCCTCCTTTTGCTTTGGTTTGTTTCTCTGATTTGGGATCTTCCTCTTTTTGAACTGTGATCTGATTATGTCATCATGCAATATTGATTCCTCCTGTGTAAAAGGTGTCTGTTTACATGAGTATGACCCACGCGATGCGCTCGTTTCACAGGGACATTTAGTCACTGACGCAACCAAGATGTGTAGGGTAGTTTCCTCGGATGAACACACATCGGTCATTTATGTCCTCGTTCGCTGCCTGTCAGTCATTTCTTGTTAATTCTGTAAAAGCAGGAACGTTGGGGAGTTGTCGAGGGAAAGTGACTCCAGATTCCTCGTGTAGGTATTCAGGGTGCTGCCATGACATTGGTGGTGGTTGTAGTGTGCGTGTACTGTATGTGTGTGTGTGTGTGTGTGCGTGCCTGTATCCATTCTGCACGCCTCATGAAGCCTCATTCGGTTGGCGCCTCTGTTCACCGTGGAGGGTGTGATCTCTGTTGTTTGACTGTCACGCTCCTCTCCATCGATCCTCACGCTGCCAGAAGCTCCATTGCACTGTAAGAACCTCCCTCCGTGAGCAGTCATTGGCCAGGGAGCTGCCGATCCAAACCGAACCTAACCAATCCAGTTGTAATCCAGCCTGACTCTGGCCTCCCGTGGACTGCCTAGCCCGCTCGTTTCCTATGCCAGCAGCTTAGAGCCGCACTGTGTCTCAGGACTTCCCCATCACATCACAGCCAAAAAGACTCAAAGCAGAGAACGCACGTCATCTCAGTCACAGTTCAGTTCGCAGGTCAGATCGACATCCCCTCACTCCCCTTCTTTTCGCCATCTATCAGGTTTCTCGCGCTTACTTGTGGCTAAAGGACGGTAAACAACGCGTTTGATTAAACTTTTGGAATCAGTAGGCGGATTCAGTTACTTTTTTTCTTTAACTCCAAGAAGTTATGTGTGCGTTTAAGTGAGCATGTGTGTAGCCGTGTTAAAAAGATGAAGTTGTGCAGAGACGGCATCTGTTTGCGCTCTGATGCAGGGGCGTAACCTTGGAATTCTGCCCCCACCACTGAAAGGTGGATCTCCCTCTGGGTTTCCCATTTTCGCTCTTTTTCCTTTTAAAAAAAAATGTGTTTGTTTTCTTTTTAAAAAAGGATATCCCACCGAAAGCTACGTGGGCTCACATTTTGCCACACTAGTGACGGTGCTGCTCCGATCGGGAAGAAGCACCATGTGCGGGTTCACATTGCTGGGAAGAGAGTTTCCGAGGCTGATTCTACCTTTTTAGTTAGCTCACACGGTTGTATATGATAATCCTGATTACTGCATCCTTGATTTGCATTCCTATACCTTTTATCAACTGAACTTTATTTGCTTGGTCACACTGACTGACTGAATGATCTGTTATGTGTGTCTCTGTCTGCCCCTTCCACCCACCACATCGCAACCTCACCGTCACGTCTTCCTCGCCCTCCTACAGAAGCAACTAGCAGACAAAGTTAAGTCCAGTGAGTAAAACCAAACAGCACACTACCAGTAGTCCGATCATGTCAGAAATTCTTCCACTGCAGATGTACATCAGGTTCTGAGACCCCTAGAGAGACCCTTTGAAGTTCACTGAGGAAAATGATACTGTGTTAGATACAATGTGTCCCGATTAGACTTCATTTCCAATATGTAGAGTTTTGTTTTCTTTCTTTTTCCCCCCGCACAGGCAATGCATGGATCACAGATATAGAAATTATCCCCTCAGATTTAGGGGGAATCGTATGATATGAAAATACAATTTGGGTTCACGGCCCAGTGGTCTGGCTAGTTTTGTCTTACTATCACTGTAATCAATCTGAGATTTGCAAACGATTTGAAATTACTGCAAGTGAGGATAGTGTGCTTCTAGAGCTAGTCGAATTGTTGACAACCCCACCCTCTTTCTCCTCGACCCCACCCCACCCCTCCCCCGCGCTTCCCACCCACCTTTTTTACGAACACACGTACTTCTCTCACGCACGTACATCCATATCCACAATGAAGCACACACACTGAGCACACAGACACACAAAACCGTGCATACACAGACACACTCACACAGCCCCTCTCATGTTTGTTTGTCAAGCAGTTTGTCTTTTTTACCTACCAACCTATCCTCCTCCTACTCCTCATCTTCCTCCCCTCCTCTCAACCCCAAATCCCCTGCATGTCCTAGTGGTACTGGTAGTTGGGTGCATGGAAAAAGCAGCAAGCAAATCTTTTTTTTTCCACTCGGTGAAAAAAATAATAATAATAACAATAATAAAATGAAATAAAAAACGTGTCCTCATTTTAACATTCAGCAATAAATCCCCTTCTCTTCATGTCCATCATTCTTGGAATATGCTAGAAGATTTTTTGCAAGTTTTATCAAAAACATACTACTTGTAAAAGAAGAAAAATCCAAAACACCCCTTCATATGAAAAATAAAACTTTATTCCTACCATTTTTGAAACAGTCCTGTCATCTTTGTAACTGAAATACTGCGTGATTGCCTCTTTAACAAGCAGAAGGTCTGAGATGATCAGAAGCATATCCACTCTCACTGAGGTCATCTGAAGCCTAGGGCAGGAAAGAAAATAGCTGGAAACGGGGTTTGGAGCAGTTGGACCTTTCAACTCACAGAGATTACTTACACACAAACACTGACCACATTCTTTGAAACCTTAACCACGTGCATCCACAACTGTAATAGTAAGGAAAGTTTTCATTACTACTAAAGGTTTAACTGTTCTAAAGGAGCAAGGAGCTAAACGATCACATCTTCAGTCTGTTACCAGAATATCAGATGATTATTGTGTATTTAAGCTCTCAGTTTTTAATTAATCAGGTATGCCGACACTATTCACAGCCCACATTATGACATGAACAACTAATAATGTCCATTATTATCTAATTTACAGTTGATCGAGAACAAGCTAGGTTTCTGAAACGTTTGGAAGCCGGGAACCAAAGTTACTTACTGTGGACCAAAGGGTCCTAACACTAACATACAGCACACATTTACAACCATTTGTACTCTTAGCTGCAGCTGAAACTGTTTGTAAGACTTTGCCTAAATACTTCAAATACTTGAGGCACAATGTGTCACAATCCTGCGGAGGTTTTTACGGGATCAGAGATAACAAGGGAAGGAATAAAAAGGAAAATATGCACTCTTTATAAGAATATTATCTAAAATATTACAAAACAACTTTGATTTGTGAGCTCTTTGGCTTAAGAGCTGTGAGCCCGGCTGGGATGTTCAGATAAACAGGTATTTTGATTCAGATTCATGTTGATGGTGATGACACACATTTTCACACAAAGAAACAGAAAACATCCCATCTTATGCATATAATTTGCTACTATGTACATGTAGGGATGTAAGACAGAGAGGAGCCACAGTTTATGCCTCCAAACTGCTACAAACACTGAGGAGGGAGCGTTTAGGTAAGATTGGTTGGTGATTGTTGTCTTAGGGTTTTCCCAAACTGATTCACACTTGTTTTCCATGACAACTGTTGTAACACCTTAGTGTCAGGATTGCAGACACACCACATTATTTAAATGCAACCGTTTTTAATCAGAGTTCTTGTCTGACCTGATAGGTGTGCGGATGACAGGAATCTGCCCATGAAAAGATTGCCAGGTGATGAAGTCATAATTAAGCTGCTAAAAAAGAAAAGATTAGGTGGAGATTTAGGGCGGCACAGAAGGAAGTTCTGTTTCCAAACTGATGTCTGATTATTCATGTGCACAAGATGAACTGAATGAACTAGTGAAGTTTCACACCCACACTGATATGTTTTACATAGTATTTTCTCTGTGATTCTGGGGTAGTGACACCAACAGCTGAGTCACTGATAAATGTTATTAGTTTTGTATCGTCTTCATTTCTTATGAAACACATTGATGTGTTTCCCATTGTTTGTGGGTGGAATTTCTCTTCGTTTCACAAGTGGGTGTATCCATGCTGCTCGGCAGAACCCGAAGCAGCCTCCTCAGCCAGAGGGCTCAAAGGAGGAGCTTCAGCTACAGAGGAAACCTTCCTGATAGACTGACTCACTGTATTTTATCTTTAATTCTTGAGTAGAGAGTTTACTCAGACTAAATGAGACAAAACTGTGCTGGACAACGCTCCTCAACTAGATAACAACTATGTGATTATTCCGTGAAATAGAAAGCCTTCATTAAAAACAGGTAAGCAAAGAAAACTGCTGACATCAACAGCTTCATTAAACCTTTTAGGGTTGAAGTCATGGTAACCCTAACCTCTATATTTGGGAAGAGACCAAAACAGAGTTTTTAGAAAAACTGTGATTTTTTTATGCTTGTTTGTTAAAATTATGATTTTCTTTCTACCCTCAATGGGAAAACAATATAATAAAAGCCAAAAATGACATCTTCTTATTGGCTCGGGTCAGAATAGGAGTTAGAGTTAGGAATAGTGAAGTTTGGGCTGTCACTGATTTAGACCTAAGAAGGTAAGTTTTTTAAAATGACATCATCTTTTCAGTTTCTTGTTAACACAAGGAATTTGTAGACTGCGTTTGTTTATCTGCTAATAAAAATGTGCTTAACTCTTTTTCATACCTCAAAGTGTGACTAAATTTAACTCTAAATAAACGTTCCTTTTGAACTTGTGATAATTATCTGCTAAAAACCACACTACTAAATTTCAATCAAAGCACATGGTTTTTGATTGGTGGAGTCAAGATTGCGCATGGCTTTGAAATGACCAGAAAAAAATTGCTTTGCATCTCAATGCTTACATGCCAAATGAGCCAATTATACTGGCTGTTAATCATCATGTGATCAAAAAGAACTCAGCTAAAATCTATTTTACGCACTCGTTTGTGAGATCACTGTTACATATGGTCTTAGTTCATCTCTCTTTTGCAAATCTTCCATTTCCTCATGCTTCTTCACTTCATTTCTCTGCGGAGCTTTGCCTCTCGATCCAGATACACATAAATCCGCTATTGTACATTTAATAATTGTTTTATATTTTGAAACTCAGAAATTGTCAGATGTCAGATTTCTTCAGTGTAACTTGGTGTTTGTGTATTTGCAGCTGAATGGCACGGTGTTACTTTCGCTGGCGCAGGGTGTTAATCTGTGTGTGCACGCCTTGCATCTTCCTGGCCCTGCTCTTTGTCTACGTTGGTCTCACGGTGTGTATGAGCATGAGGAGCATGACAGCACCAGCGAGTGAAATCATGCCAAAGAGTTCTCATTTTGTGGCCAATGGAATTTTAAGAAAAAAGATCTTCGTCTCACTCCCTAAAATTTTCTGGGAGAACCAATGTCAGAAAAAGGCTTTTTGGAACCAGCTCCAGCTGGTCGTTGACCGTCAATTTAACCCCATCCTGCACCCCCACGAAGCCAAGGGATTAATGAAGAATATCAGCTTTGATGATTTCCTGCTGAAGAAGAGTTTCTCTGCAGTTCGCAGACTCAACAACATGACATATAATGTTGACGAGCTACCACAACAGGTGCAAGACTTCACCAAGTACATGCAGACAAGAGACTACCCGGTTCTCCTCCAGCCAGGTGGAGAATGTGGAGCTCAGGGAAAAGACGAGCGGGAGGACCCTCTGATTCTCTTCGCCATCAAAACAACACTGGATAACTTCAACAACCGACAGGCTATTCGGCAGACCTGGGGCCAGGTGGGATGGGTGGCAGGACAGAAGATAAATGGCAGTGGCAGAGATAATGGTGGAGCCTATGTCCGCAGGGTATTCCTGCTGGGCAAGCAAAACACCAAAGAACTGGGTGTGGATGTGTCTGCGTTACTCAAGTTGGAGAGTACGCTCTATGGAGATATTCTGCAGTGGGACTTTGAGGATACATTTTTCAATCTCACCTTGAAGGATGTGCTCTTCTGGAGCTGGTTCTCACACTCTTGCAAGCAGACCCACTTTGTCTTCAAAGGAGATGATGACATCTTTGTCAACACACCAAAACTGATAACCTACCTCCAGATCCAGATGGAGAAGCCGCATGTGAAGAAAAACATGCACAACTTCGTGTTTGGGGACGTCATAGGAGCAGCTTCACCCAACCGAGTCAACATCTCAAAGTACTTTATCCCACACAGCTTCTACAAAGGGTTATACCCCGCGTATGCAGGCGGGGGAGGGTTGGTGTACTCGGGTCAGTTGACCAGACGTCTGCACTTAATTTCTAAAAGAGTTCACCTGTTCCCCATCGATGACGTGTACGTAGGGATGTGCATGGTTCGGCTCAATGCCTTCCCCACGCACAACCACGCCTTCCTCATGTTTGACTTCCCCAAAAATGAAGGGAAAGACCCGTGTTCGTACCACACCATCTTAGTGATCCACAAGCGAAGCCCCAAACAGGTGGTGAAACTTTGGGCTGACTTGAAAGAGACACAGGCACAATGTCGACATGTGCCTCTGAGAGTTGAACAGAAGGAGAAAAACTAAATAACCCCCAGCACTTTGTAGCCACCTTGAAATGCCTCTAGGCAAGCTATACGGGCAGATATGTTGTTTAAGTTCAGTGGTCACTGAGACATAAAAACTGCATATAAAGAATAACAGGATTGCAGTAAAGGTTAAGTGGAAAAAGTACAGGCTTGGAAATGTAAAGGAACTCCTTTAAGGAAAATTCTAATAACCATTTTTGTAAAAAGGCATCCGAACCTTGTCCTACATTAATATAATATAAAACAATATTAGTACATGAGAAGGCAAATACTATTCCAATCTAAATTCTAATTCCCATGACAGCTTCATTCTGTTGTTTTTAAAAATAACCATTTTCTTGCCTACATTGTAGAGGGTGACTTTGCCTCCACACCTAAACAGTAAAATGGGACACTCAGGAGTAACCGTAATTTATGTGTAGTGGCTCAGCATAGGGAAAAGAATCACAAGTCTGTAATTTCTAATGTGAGCTCCAGTAGGTTTTCTTCATGTATAGACTGTGATCAGCTGACCTGCCACTCTTTGTGGATTTACACAACCGGATTCAACAACATGTAAACAGTTTCACAAGCTATCTTCACTGATGTCTATCCTCTACACTAAAGTTAGAATTCGGTTAATTATTCCAAGTGTCATTAGGCTAACTTCAAATTAAGTACTTGCTACACTTGATGTAACCTAACACTGACCACGAGCACCTGCAGGCCCTTCGCACCAGTCCAACAAAGAGCTTTACAGCGGTCCCTTGTTTATCACGGGAGTTACTTTCTAAAAATAACCCGTGATAGGTGAAATCCACGAAGTAGCAAACTTTTTTTTTTACAATTAGTATAGATGTTTTAAGGCTGTAAAACCCCTCCCTACACAGTTTATACACTTTTCTCAGACAGGCATGGACATTTTCACACTTTTCTCTCTAGTTTAAACACTCTCAAAGTTCAAACCTTCGTAGAAAAATAAGTCCAGTATCATAGAATGAAACCAAAGATCAAACCCTGTTTTCAGGTCCAGAACATGGGATTTTGTTTCGCTAAATGTGCCTCATAATCCAAAAAATACGGTAACTTCTACCTTCCTTTAGCATGTCCAGAAGTCCAACATTTTGTGCGATGGTTAGCAATAGCATCGTCCTCTGCCTTTGGGTGCTACCGCAGGTGCGTTTGATGGTGTAAAACGTTTCGTTGACATTGTTGTGTTTGTTGGGGAGAAAACTTACAAACATACAGTCACTGTGTCTACTATTTATTTTTTCACTTCATAAGTCTATGTTCCTCACTTATATTTAAAACACTGAATAATGTGAATGACTAGCACTTTAATAATAATTTGCAAAGCATTACATTATTTTTAAATATCTTTTTTCATTTCTTTCATGCTCCTGTTTGTACTATGAAATTAAAATACCTTGCAGACTGGTTTGTTAAACTTTGACTATCCTTGCTTACTTTAAGCATGCAATAATGCAAAGTTTGAATGCCTGCAAAATGGATATAGTAGGAAGTATGAGGGAATGAGGTGGGGTCATTGTCTCACAAACAGCACTGTATAAAACAAAAACTACACACAATATTCGAAGCACATAGTGCACTGTGGGAATTTACGACTGTGCGTAAATCCCCCCTAATATTGGTATGAATCAGCTCAGACGGGGCTGCATCAAGACACGAGGACTAAACCCCAATTCAACCAGACCCAGAACTGATCCGGAGTTAAAACAGGACTACAACAGTTCAAAATCAGGACTATTTAGGATTTAACCAAGACAGAACCAGAATCAGAACTAAATGAGCACTAAAATCATCATAGACCTGCACTACACTTATTTTTTAATTCTACCAAAGTCCACTATGTAGATTCACAAAAGTTTATATAATTATTTAGCCTTGTTGTGCAAACAAGCCTGCATAACTTAATAAATATAGAATTTGAAAAATAACAAACCTAAAAAGAAACACTAGGTACGAGATACATGAGGACCTATGATACGGTGATACTTTTGGTAAACGACCATTTGACTAACATGTGTGTCTCACCTGCTCTTGTTCCATCTCTGTGCTGTCCTCATTCTCTCTCTCCCTCTCTGTTTCTCTCTCTCTCTCTTTGTGCTGAAAATCAAGCCAAACACCAACATCATCAAATATACAGTTGAAACCAGATATTTACAAACTCTTCAGATAAAAACAGAAACACTTTTTTAATTGTAACATCAAATCAGACTAAATGTTTATTTTTTTTTTAGATTGATAAACATAAAAAACACATTTGTTAACTTTAAGAGTAAAGAGAGAAACTATCTGTATTTCTATATGGCACCAAATTGTATTCAAAATTAAGCCACACTTATGGAGCTCCACAGTTCTTTTCCTGGTCTTTTGTTGACATCTCTTGATTTTCCCATTTTAAAGAAACAGGCTCTGTGTTTTGCCTTATATGCATCCACAGCTGTGCCACCAATTTACTCACATGGACTCTACTAACCTATCAGAAGCTTCTTCAGCTCAGGATGGAATCGTCTGGAGTTTTCTTATTAATTAATAATAAACTTAGTGTATATGTACTCCTAAATTTAATGAAAGTGATAAAAAATAGACAGATCTCTGTCTCTCTTTATTCTGACATTTAACTAATTCAAAAGATATTTCAACATTTATTTATCCAAAAAAAACCCAAGTTTACTCTAAATTGATGTTGTACAGTAAAAAAATGTTCGTGGCTCAAGGGGTTGGGAAGCGCATCTGTAACCGGAAGGTTGCCGGTTCAATCCCCAGGCTCTCTGTCCTGGTCGCTGTGTCCTTGGGCAAGACACTTTACCCTACCGCCTACTGGTGTTGGCCAGAGGGGCCGATGGTGCGATATGGCAGCCTCGCTTCTGTCAGTCCGCCCCAGGGCAGCTGTGGCTACAACTGTAGCTTGCCTCCACCAGTGTGTGAATGTGAGAGTGAAAGAATAGTGGCCTTGAAAAGCGCTATATAAATCCAATCTGTTATTATTATTATTAATCTTTCAGTCATTTCTAACCCCCCCAATCCCACATGCATACTACCCTTTAGGGCTAAGCCCCGGGTGTATCAAATGTCTGCCTCCGCCTCTGGAGCTGATGCTAAATGCTATCATGCTGTCAGTAATTTCTGAACAGCTAGATGAAGTACATGAGAGTACCTACCTGCCCCTGAACCTGGTTTTGCCAGAGGTGTCTCCCAGGAACACTTCCCTTGTGCTTTAGGAAATCAGTTTTTTCCTATTTCCGTTGTGTTTTGTGTGCTTTTGCAGCATTTTTCTTATTGCTGGTGTTTTCTTAAGTTGCAGTCCATTCGGCCTCTCAGGGCCACCGTACCATATAAATAAAACTGAATTGAATTGAATGAGTTAAACAAGACAACAGGTATTCGAGTTTCAGGTTACAGCAGCTGAGCTAGTTTTGCAGTGCCAAGGCTCAAAACAAACCAAACAAATGTGATATCTGTTTTATTGTAATATATATCTGGATTTTCATGTCTGAGTTCATAAATGATCAAGACTGAAACAATCTCATCCCATTACAAGTGGAATTAAAATCCAACTGATAGTGGACTACAGTATTAAACTTTAGGCGATAAATAAGAGATTGGCATTCATCCAAACACTGAGGCTAAAGGCGTCAGGCAAAGGTGGAGTTGGTTGGTGTTTCCCGTCCTTGACAGGGAGGAAAAACAGGTCTGTTCTCCTCCAGTTTTGTGCACTGTCACAAAGTGGAGCGTTAAATCCAATAAAGCTCCTTCAGCAGTTCGTGTGTATGACCGCAGTGTTTAATTCATGTATAGATTAGTGCGCAGTGTTTCACTACATGTATTATTTGATATAATTATTGTAGGATACATTTCAGGTATTCATGGGCTTTTGAAAAAACTGAGTGTACATTCTTATTTAAAATTATTTTTGTCAAAATACGACATAGATGCTTTCATTGTGCAGTTACTCAGTGAGAGCAAAATTGTAATGACAGGAATCATCTCTCTTCTGTTCAATGTCATGTGAGTTATGACGAAGTTTTCTCACACCTTGGGGGAAGAAATGAGTCAGCCAAAAAGGCGTGGGACTGGTTCCGCTTGCAGTAGGAATTTTCTGTGCGCTGACGACACTGTGATGTAATTTCTGAGAATCCATATATTGTAGTTTTTTTTCCAGATATGCTAGTGTGACATCTACACAACCTTTTCCGGAGGAGATGGCTGCTTGACTGCGTAATAATGAAATGCATTCAGGATTAAGTCTTGAATCCGGCAAGATGGAGACATGCACAGGAAGATATCGAGTCAGTGTGACATAAGCATACTCTGCTTGGGATTTATTCCATTTCAAAAGCTTTTCAGTCATTTCACAAATTAACTTTTGCTGCTGGATAAGATGAAAATAAAACAGCTTTCATTTGTAACTCAAGCTGATACAATAATTTTTAGAACCATATCCAGCACCAATAGGACATTTGGATTTTCTTTGGCAGCAAAATTAAACAGGTTTCTACGGAAAAGGTTGCATAAATTTAACGTCATCGTACAAATATACTGTGTGCCCTTTTATATAAGGTACCAGTGATGTGCAATGGACCTATCATCAGAAAAAAACACTAGAAATGTATCCCATGTTAAATTTCAGATACATTTTAATCTCACAGATTTGTAAAACAAGCAGGAATTACTAAATACATTGAATGAGCCCAGCCATTCAGTACATGAACTGCAGAGGGCGCTGTTGCAGGTGGACCATTGCTTCAGATCATCATAGCGTCAGTCAGTGATGACAGCAATACAGGGGAGCATGCTGTCGCATCTGTTTCACAACTCCTGATTGTCCGTGTCCTCAGTGCTGCTGCTATGAGGCATTTTCCCTCCTTTTCTCTTTGTCCTGATCCCTGTCCTCATCCTCTTCGCTATCGTCCTCCTCCTCCTCACTTTCACTGTACTGATAGTTACAGCGGTTAGTGTTTACAAAGAGGTCGCTATCGTCATCTTCAGAATCGCTAGCGTCCTCGTCCTTTTCCAGCTTTTTCTTTGTCTTATCCTGCGTCGAATGCTCGTCCATAAAGCCCTCTGGCCTGGAGACAAGAAAAAAATGTAAAAAGTGCAAAACATGTGACAAATGAGGCTGATCGAGGAACGTAAAGGTTGTGCAGTGTGTTCCCACCTACCAGAGGTTCTGTTTTTGTAGGTATTGAATGTGATCCTTGTAGAGAATAAAGCTGATCTCTGCCTTCACCTTCTCTCCTTCTTCAATAGGATCCACAATCACATAGTCACCTTTGGAGTGAGAAGATGAAATTTAAATGAATGAACATAAATGGGGGTCTTATTTAGACCAGTACTAGCTAGCGGGAGATCACATTACTAACTTATATGTTTGCACTACGATATATATTATTCTTTTGTTTTGAAAAGGCAATGAACACCATGACAACGAGGTTCACTGTACTGTATACATTATGGATGTGCAGCTGATAAGTCTCCAGCAAGTAAGGTGCAGTGAAATATCAAAAGTGTAAACTAACTAGTAAGCCCACAAAAAGCACCCCAATTTTGTTGTGGGCAGCAGCACACACGGTGCAGCATGAACGTCTGTGCCACAAGCCACTAAATAATATTTGCCACCAGCTGTCACTGGATTATTACTCAAACTTTTAAACACGTAACTTCCCTTTCCATTGCTTACCTCTCTTGATCCAGATGTTCTTGCGGAACTTGGTGGGCATGCTCACCAAGAAGGTCTCACCCTGAGCTGTTACAGCATCATGTAGGTTGTTACCACGGCTCCCAGTTACCTGTAAAAGTGAAGAAGCAGAGGAAACATGGAATCAGAAAAATACACTCAACAGCCACTTTATGAGGTGCACTTGTTCAACTGCTTGTTAATGTAAAATGTTGCAGAGGATGGTCAATGGACTTAGGTGTGTGAAAATGGTCAAGACAACCTGCGGAAGTTAAAACTGAGCATCAGAATGGGGGAGAAGGGCGATTTAAGTGACACTGAATGTGGCATGGTTGTTGGTGTCAGCAAGCTGGTCTAAATATTTTCAGAAACTGCTGATGTGAGACACAATTATCGCTACAATTTACAGAGAATAGTTAAATATCCACTCGTTACAACCACAATGTGCAGAAGAGCATCTCTGAACACAGAGCATATCAAACCTTGTTGTAAAGGGACTACAGCCGCAGAAGACCACACTGGGTCAGGTGTCAGCTAAGAACAGGAAACTGAGGCTATAATTTGCACAGGCTCACCAAAACTGGACAATTCATTTCAATTTTATTTACATTAAATAACAACAAATCACAAGGAAAGTCACCTCAAGGTGCCATATATTGTAAGGTAGAGACCCTACAATAATAGAGAGAAAAGAATCAAATGACCCCCTTTGAGCAAGCACCAGTAGAACCAGGCTCAGGGAGGAGCAGCCATCTGCTGCAATCGGGGGCGAGGGGAGGCAGAAAGAGAAAAAGACACTGGGGAAGAGATCAAGAGAATAGTAATAACTAATGATTCACTGGTGGTGTATAAACACAGTGGGTGAAAACACTGAGTGAGGAAGAAACACTTTGAAGCCCCTGGAGGCCTAGATCTATTGCAGTCACCTGATTCAGCCCTAACTATATCTATATATGAAAAGGAAAGCTTTAATGCTAGTCTTAAAAGTAGAGAGGGCATCTTTCTCCTGAATCCAAACTGGAAACTGATTCCACGGAAGAGGAGCCTGAAAGCTGAAGGCTCTCCCTGCCATTGCACTTTTAAATACCTGCACTGAAACAGGAAAAATCCACTTGTTAGCGTTAATGTTTGGGTTTGAGCAGGGCTCCACAGTGTAAATAAGCCTTTCTACAAGTGGTGTTACATGTCCACTTTAAGGCAGCTCTGGAGTTAAATGGGGGTCTTACCTGTACTTCCAATCTGTACCTAAGTACACAAGTATCCAGTGTATGCTGCTGATTACTAAAATGTGAATGTTGTAGTATGTAGGAAATACAGGGAACTTTATACAAAGTTTACCTTTACGATCTGCTGGTTTTCTGTGGGTGTGACAAAGTCTCCAAGAACCTCCTTGACAACGTGTTTGCGTTTAGTGGCCTGTGACATTATAACCGACAGCCTTCACGTTCCTTCGCCAGCTGAGAAAGAAAGAGTGGGTCGAAAGTTCTAGTTAACTAAAGACACATTTAAAGGCTAGACCTTTCTTTATAAACGTCTATAAAACTTTCTGTGTACCTTAATAATTTAAACTTCCTCTGCCAATTTTCTTCTAAACAGTAAGTAGTTGCTTACGAATAATAACTTAGCGGAAAAGGCTAACATTAGCTGTCTCCACATTAGCAGGTTAAATACTACCTTGAAAGAAAGAAAGACAGGAAGGGCTGTTTGTCTTTTTGACGCAGAATCTGTCTCCGAGCAGCAGGTATACGTTCGTGTACAAAAAGAACCTGAAATATTCAGTCAAAAAAAAAATGGAATGACATGCGTTCTTGTTTTCAGTCCACAGTGCGGGGAAAGACAGGGAACGTTACACTTCCGATGTCAAGTGGGGTATATTTTCAAAATAAAAGTTCCATACGTGTAAAATGTTCATTTTATCGCTAAAAGCCCTTTTAATGACTGGTTAAAATGTGACTAAATTTATGTAAATGAACTTCAGGATTCATTGTAATTCACCGTAAAATTATATCACTAACTTACGACGATTTTTGTTTCTTATTTTAGAAGCTACTGCTAAAGACCAGCTGTTCCGTTACCTTCCCTTGGCATTGTGGGAAAATGAGGTTGTTTTGATTAAAGGAACATTCAAGAACACGAACGTTGTTGCTCCTCTATCGTTCAAAGTGTTTTCCTACATTGTGTTTGTCCTGCTTCTTCCCAACATACCGTTTAAAATCATAAACAGGTTAAAATGTTTTCTCCCTTTATAGGCCGCTGTAGTTATTTGAAGTTAATTTTGCCTTATGGTTAAAGTTATTATATATGCACTAAATAAATTATAAAAAGTAATGCTTTAATTGTACTGTCAACCAGTTTATAGTTTCAGTGCACATGAAAAACTTTATAATAAAATAGGGCAGCACAGTGGTCTGGTGGTTAGCACTGCTGCAAGAAGGTTCTGGGTTTGAACCCATCATTTTCTTCTTGAGCATCTGTGGGTTCTCCAGCTTCCTCCCACAGTCCAGAGACATGCACTTGGGTGAATCAGTGATTCTAAATTTCCAGTGAAAGGTTGCCTGTCTCTCTGTGTTACCCCTGTGACAGACTGTCCAGGGTTTACCTCATTTCTCCCCCATGGCAGCTGGGATAGGCTCCAGCGTCCCCCAGTGACCGTGGATTGGATAAGCAGAAGAAAATGGATAGATAGATCATAAAATAACAAACAACTAGATTTCACACTTTTTTTTTAATTCAACTCCCATCATTCATTTCTCACTGTTATACAGCTATTATTGCAATTACATTGCACTAAACTGAGTTTGTGCAGTAAATCACTTCAGAATCAAAGCCTTGTTTTTCAAAACCTCTTTGAAGCACATACCATCAGCTCACCACTATGAGCATGGGCTCTGTTACTGTAAGTAAAGATGACTTATAAGCTGTTACCTTAAACACATTAATTATTTTAACCAAGCTTCAGGACTAACAGAAAAAGCAGATGTAATCTTGATTTAAAATTACTGGAAAGTTTCAGTATCACATCAAAGCTAGCTTTATTAGAGCTGGTAAAACACTGGTTTGGTCTAACGGAGAAGAAACATCAGCAGGACTTCACATGTGTGCGTGTTGAGCTCTTGTGCATTCTGGATAAGTGATGGTGTGTGTGTGTGTGTGTGTGTTTGTGTGTGTGTGTGTGTGTGTGTGTGTGTGTGTGTGTGTGTGAGTGTGTTAGGGGTTCAGTTGACTACAGCAGATGAGCACATCTTGTTGATCCCACATGCATTGGAGCCCCTGTAGAGGTTGTAGTAACCCTGTGTGAAGGAGAAAAAACAAATTAACACTCACTCCCTCACAGCTGTACATGAACAGAACTCATTTTTTCATTATGCTATGAAACAACAGTCAGCTTTGTAAAGCCTAGTGCACGGATCAGCACTTCTATTATGAAAACGGTGCTTTATGTCGGTGATCCTCAGTCATGTAGTTGGTTTCAAATGAAAGATTTTTAGAATGATAAGTGTTCTAAAGGTCGTGCTGTCTCACCTGCTCTCCATAATCCTCCCCCCAGCTGTTTTTGATGGCCCAGAAGGGAATACCTTTACCTGAGAACACAGGGGGGAAACATTGTTGACAAACGAGGCAAAAAGATGTGTCTATGCTTTCCAGAAACTGGGCAAATATTTAAGACAAAAAAACAAAACAAAAAAATTACGTTCTCCGTATCCCACCAACAGCACAGCGTGGTCGATCATCCAGGGGTTGCAGAAAATCTTCAGAGGGTGAGATATGCCCTTCCTGTAAAACTGGAGGGAATGAAATGATATTCAAGATAATGTAAGAATAACATGTATCTTAAGATTATTATCTTTATTATCGTTTATGTCCAGTTTAGATGAATGAATGAATGAAACAGCTTTTTTTATTTGTCACTAGCAGGTTGTCCTGCAGCGAGATGGAAACACCCCCGACCTTACACTCATAACACAAACATCACACGGGGTTACAAGTCGGAGATTGGTAGCGTTACAGAAAAACACTGAAATGTACACAACAACGGGAAGGTACAAGAGGAAAAAAAGAGACCTCCACTCATGCTGTGCTTCCATGGTAGGAAGCTATTATTGCTATTATTTGGGCAGGAAATATGTCACTCCTGATATGATACAGTAACAATACACTGCCCATGATACTATACACATGCAAGAAAATGATCTACATACGACTTTGCTGTTTGATAAGCACCACCACCAAGTACTGACTCTGATAAGTCAAACTGGTGGGGGTTAGGAATGTTTTAATAAATCAGTAACATATAAACCAACATTACACAAGAAGGCAACGTGACATATTCTATTGATATTTTTATTCCACTCCTAGTTGACACCTCCACTGAGGAGCTGATGTTCGTTTCATTCTGGTAAAACTTTGTAGGCTTGTAGAGTGGGGTCACATTAATTTAAAACTCAGTTTCTGATTGCCATTGTTAATAATGACAATGTATTTTTATACTCTTATATAAGACAATAGAATGATAAATGGGGATTCTAACTATCACAGTATGTTTGCATCTAAATATCACATCACATTTGACCTCTGACCTCACTTTTACATTTCCATCTTAATTTCAAGCTGACCCCAAAACATCTTTAAAGAGAGGATTGTTAGAGACTGAGCTGTTTAGTTAGTCACAAATATACTTCAGTAATATTGAATAATAAGCTCAAGTTATTCGTGTCCAGTTGTTTACAAATCAGTACTTATTATTTATCACATACTCACTGATACCCTTCTCTGATTTTGACTACACTATAAACTTCTTCAAGTACCTCTAAAAAACAAAGAAAACAAAAAGAATTCATCCTCTTAAAAATAAACACTGTGCAACGACTGAGCTGCTTTGCTTCTTGTTGTTTTGAGGAGTGATTTAACTTCTTAAAAAACCTCCTACCTGCATTGCAAAAGCATTCAGAGCAACAGAGACTGGCCCATTCTCAGCCAGCCAAGCAGCAATCTCTGAGAAGGAAAAAATACAAAAATAAATCAAAATGAGTCAATTCAACAACCCTTAGTTTCAAACAGACTCACTACAGTTAGAATAAGATAAAAATCATGGACATGTCCATGCAGTTAAACCACTGTGTGCTCACCCTTCTCCTCTTTGGGCAGCTCCACGGAGCTGTTGATGTAGGCGGCCACCTTCCCGGTGGTGAAGTCACACCTCTGCTTGTGCCCGGTGTAGGAGTAGTCACTTTCAGTCTCCAGACCCCCTTAACCACACGAGGGGCAAAGATTATAAGAAAGCACTTTAAGGAAAAATCTGCTTGTGTTATCAGTAAAAACATCTCTCTGCTTTTACTTATTGCTAAACACAGAATAAAATCTTAGTTCTACCCAGCTTCTCAATAGCTTCATAAGCATTTGATGGAAGCCCGCCTCTGCACGCTTGGTCCAGCCCGTCACAGTCAACCAGCTCTGTGAAGAACAAATCAGTACTCAAGCATGTCAAGACTTTATGCTGGATTTGAAAACCCCTGATTAATTCTATCATCTGTGCTACTTTTCTGTGTCACCTTGTTCGGAAAGTGACAGCAACGTTCCATTTTTCAGGAACCACTGGCCTTCAATGTTGCCTATGACAGAAAATGCCCAGCAAGATCCACACATTCCCTGCAGGAGAAAAAAACACACCCTAATAAGCATAAAGTGGGCACAGTGTACAATTTAATCGCTACCAACAAGCTCTTTAGGGTGACCACCCCATAATGAACTCTGTTTGTTGGCACCTGGTTCTTAACAGGACTGACAGCTCCATGATCCCTCCAATCCCAGCTGTCAGGCGAGGGGCCTTTGGCGGGAGTAGCTGGTTTCATTGGTTGATGGAGAGTCCATTGACTCAGCAGTGGGTTTAAGTATGTAGAGCGAAACTCCTCCTCTGGAGAAAAGCAGAAGGATATTTCACTTTGTTTTCTTAAGCTGAAGCAACACGTGGAAAGCAGAAGAGGCGTTCTGTCATTAGAAACTGTGGACGTGCATTCACAGTTACGTACCGGTGAGGTCGCTGAACTTGGTGACTCCATACTCAGCTGAACCTTGATCCAAAGCCTGGAGCTTCTCAGCAGTCTTCAGGTTCTCGTGGAAGATGCGCAAACGGCGGTCCACTTCTGCAAGGTGAAGGGTCAAAAGCACATATTCATAAAAGATTCTGCTTAAAAGCCTTTCATTTTTTTCATTTTCAGTTGAATTTAATTTTGTTTCTAAAGTGCGAACAAGAGAAGAGACATATCAGATGTTTAACCTGAGACATTAAATATTTCACTTTGAATTTGATGGCACCAAAATGTGTCAAAAAAGTTGGGACAGAGTAAAAAAATAAAGACTGGAAAAGTAATTGGTACTAAAAGAAAACAGTTGGCGATACATTTTGCAAGTTGCAAGTAATTGGGTTAACTGGGAACAGGTGAGTAACATGACTGGGTATAAAAAGAGCATCTTAGAGAGACGGAGGTTCACCAATCAGCAAAAAACTACATCTACAAATTGTGGAAAAATATCAGAATGTTCCCTAACAAAAAAATGTGAAGACTGTGAATATCTGATGATCTAAGGGACAGGATATCAAACGATTTAAAGAATCTGGAGAAATCTCTGAGCACAAAGGACAAGACCAAAAATAGCATTGGATGCCTGTGATTTTTAGTCCTGAGGCAGCACTGCACTAAAAACAGACATGATGATTCTATCATGGAAATCACTGCGCGGGCTCAGGCTCACTTCCTGCAATCACTGTCTGTGAACACAGTCCACTGTGCCAGCTGCAAATGCAGGCTAAAGCGCTATCATGAAAAAAGAATGTGAACATTATGAAAACATGTTCAAAAACCTGCAGCTCTGACAGGAATGTGACACAATGTCCATACGTGGTATGAATGAGATTCAGTCACTCACCCTCCTGACTGCTGTAGACTTTATTGTACTTAGTCATGAACTCTTTAAACCGGCCCAGCAGCTCCACCGACTCCTAATGCAAACACACACACAGAATCAACGACAGAAAGCCTCGATCTCAAATCTAAATCGATTAGAACAGTTTAAACAAACAAGCAGACAGGCAGATAAAACCACAGGCCTGTAGCTGTAGAGCCTGACATTAATTTTACCTCCAGAGGCTGGCTGGTGGATGGATCCTCTACCTTGTTGCTCTCTTCTACTTCAAATTCAACTGATAAGAGAAATGAAACACAGGAAGACAATGGGAAGTGTGAGAGTATTTAACACTTAAATCAGTCAGTCAAACTGTCATGCAGGTTGCTGCAATTCACAATTTTCACGGACGATTTTCAAGCTGATAAATATGACAGAAAGAAACAACAAAAATACAAAAAACAACATAAAATCAACATATTTGCAACATCAAATGCAAAAATGTCAATTTCTCCTTTGTTCAACCTTCCACCTCATTTATCTCTTTGTAAAACAAGCATGTAAAAAAAAATCTCATGGCCTGACTGGCTGATGTGGGTTGCTAGGAAAGTTCACTGACAATCAGTAGAAATAAATGCATTTTAAAATGAGTTTTCTCTATATGTGGTCAGAAATATCATGATTAAGTTATTATCATAGAACAGAAATGCTGAACTCTTTTATTGTGTTTTTTGGGGGGTAAAAAAGGTCTAAAAAATACTTGTTGATGTGTTTTTGGATGATAAGATAATCAGTGTATTTTTAACAGCACTGTAAGAGAAGACCAAGTGAGCCGCAACTATGGTGTTCAGCTATAAATGTCTACCATATGACTTCCATAATGGGTGGTTGTGAATCTTAAATGTTGGATGATGAGTCTGTTTGGCTGCTGACTGACCTTTGGGCTGGCACTTCTGTTTGAGCAAGGTTGACGCCCCCTGCCAAGGGATGTCCCACACCTCGAAGACGCAGACTTCTGTCTGAGACATAAAAACAAAAATAAATTAGAGGAAAAGCAATAACAGCTGTTATGTGTAGGTTTGGGTCTCTTGTAAAAAGCCCCATTTATAGATTTACTTATAACTTAGATATTTTTAGTTGGGAAGAAAACAGGAACAAAGAAGAAAAAAAAGAGTCAATACTGTAAATGAATGCAAGCGTGAATGAGGCATAAGAGAGATCACTCCAAGTCAAGGTTGAGTCACAAGATCAAAACCAGCGCAATAAAAAAAATCAATACACAGCTGGACACACACACACACAGAGAGAGCTTTTTTTCTCTTAAATATAAACTCATATAACACATTCTCTCTGCTTCTTAATTTTTATCACAAGAGCTCTCTCACTCACTCACTCACTCACTCACTCACTCACACACACACACACACACACACTCACTCACACACACACACGCACAACCTACCTTGAGTTGATTTAACTCGGGATAGAAGTCACATGTCCTGAGCATGGTGGACTTCTTACATTGAGTGTTACTCAGCTCCACTGTTAAAGTGTAACGGATCCCTTTAACCAGCTGGAATACAGATGAACACACAAACATTCGGACATTTTTAATTTAAAGACACAAAATCTTGGTATAAATAAAGATTTTTATTTAGACGTGGTATAAAATATAATGCGTGTTATTGTTTTATGGGCGCTCGTTATGCTCCAAACAAGCCACACTGCGGAGACATTGTTAATTTAAAGTCAAGGACATAACTTCCGGCTGCAATAAACCGCGCATAAAATCTTATCTTGAACGCTTGAGAATAAAAATAGGTAAAATAAAATAATAAATGCTGTTCTCCAAGTTGAAACCTCTTGAAATTTTTAAATAAATAGGAATACATGTTTGTTTGTTTTTTGTTTAAGCATAATCGAATCCCTTGCTGACCAGCGCAGCAAAGACGTTTACGCTATTACTTTGAAGGTACGTCGCCCCTTTTTCCGGCCTGTGTTTAGCTAAAATGACGACCCTCCAGCAGCGCACTTGTTTACAAAAAACCGAGCATACACAACGCTTATTACAATGAGATAAATCGACAAACAATACTTTAACCGTTCTTTGCAAGTCCACTAGAAGACCAAAATATGTTGAATAAATATTATGAAATCAGAAGGAAAGCCACCAATAATAATTATACCTGTTTGTTGGCAGAGATGACCCGGCTGACTCTGCGGAGATGCATCGCATTGGAGACCCGGTTGTATCGCTCCTCTGCAAAGGCCAGAGCCTTCTTAAGACCCGGGTCGGACTCGTGGACCCGGATAGAAGAGCCGGGGGGCCCTAAGAGAGGCCGGTCGAGGTCCTCACCGAGTCCGACAACCGAGCCCAGCAAAACGGCCAGGGACAGCCACTGGATTAGCGGGCAACAGCGCAATATGACCACCATGTTGGCCCCGGGTGTTGTCGCCGACTGAAAGGACCGATGTCCAGTCTGCGCTCACTTAAATAACAGCCGTGTTTGTTTTCTTCACACAAAAATCGATTTTCAGTTAAGCAGCGATTATACAAGAGGCTATTACCAAACAAATCTGAGAGGCTGTAGGCGGAGACTGAGCTTTTATGGGGGGCGTGTTCATGATAGTGGACTTCCGGAGGTGCAGAGAAGTACACACCCCCATCACCATCAACGGCGCTGCTGTGGAGAGAGTGAGCAGCTTCCGGTTCCTTGGCGTACACCTGGCTGAGGATCTTACGTGGTCAGTACACACAAATAAAACAGTGAAGAAGGCGCAGCAGCGCCTCTTCTTTCTCAGGAGACTGAAAAGATTCGGCATGAGCCCCCGCATCCTCAGGACCTTCTATCGCTGTGCCATTGAGAGCATCCTCACTGGATGCATCACCACCTGGTATGGCAACAGCACCGCCTACAACTGCAAAGCTCTCCAGCGAGTAGTGCGGTGCTCTGAACGGATAATTGGAGGTGAGCTTCCCTCCCTCCAAGACATCTACAGGAAGCGGTGCCTGAGGAAAGCGGGGAGGATCATCAAGGACTCCAGTCACCCCAGCCATAAACTGTTCAGACTGCTTCCATCAGGAAGGAGGTTCTGCAGCATCCGGTCCCGTACCAGCAGACTGAGAGACAGCTTCTTCCATCAGGCCATCAGACTGCTGAACACGTCATAGACACCTCAGCTTCACTACTGGAACTTCAACATTATGCACTACATACTGTATATAAATGCCACTGTTTTGCACATATTCAACTCTGTATATTTTATATATTTTATTATTATTATTATTATTATTTTATTTTTTTACTATTTAATTTGTAAAAATGTGTACACACACACACACACACACACACACACACACACACACACACACACACACACACACACACGTAGGAAAATATTTAGTATACACATCCAGAAATGCATACACTATTATATATTGTACATATATTTATTAGTTTCAGGTTGGCCATTCTTGTATTTTGCTCGTTTGTGTTGTTGTGTTTGCACATCTCTGTTGCTTGTGGGGCTCGCACACAAGAATTTCACTCGCATGTGCTGTGCCAGTGTGCCTGCACATGTGATGTGACAATAAAAAGTGATTTGATTTGATTTGATTTGATTTGATAATTCCCATATTTATTATTCAGGCAGGGCTGTCGCTGATCGGTCTGTAGGCAGCAGTTGTCTTTCAGGCTTTCTGAAGCTGTGGTTTGGATATTAGGCTGATATTCGCTCACTTCAGTCCAGTCGTTGTGCCTGATCATTTTCAGATTATATTGTTTTTCGTTTGTTTGTTTGTTAAGGTACCTGGCACTGACCTATGAATCATTCGAGCATTCAAGAGATGAAACAAGGTGGTGCCTGCACTTCACAGACAACTTAGCAAAGAACCAAACAGCTATTAGTGGAGGTTCTGTCACCGTTTGGTGCTGCATTTCAGCCAGTGGTGTTTCAAGCTCTTTAGAGTTGTACAAACTCTGGTTTTGCCTTATATACTGTATTTACACATATATTTGCACATGTTTCAATAAATGGCTACACTTTCCCCCCTAAACTGCTGACTATAAACACAGTAAAAAAGAAAAGAGGGGCGACTAAAGACGTTCAGCTCATCATTGGAATAAATAAATAGATTCATTAAAATAAAATGGTAACATTACATACTACGTTTCCTGCAAATTAAAATTGATCAGATTTCGCCACTAGAGGTAGACAAAATACTATAACATTTTACCAGCGTTTCCTTTAGGGGACGTCTTTAGTGCTCCTTTATTTTTTTCTGCTGCTCTTTTATTATGAAAGTATCGCACCTGACACTCCGATAAAGATGAACACACAGTTATAGATTACATGAAATCATGAAAGTAATTGAAGTGTTGGTTACAAAGACTCCCAGTTTATACACTTCTGTAGAATTTAGAAACGAGTATTATTTATATAAATTTACTTTTGTAGAGATGGCGCTTTTATTCTAGGGGATTCTAACAACGGACCGGAAGTGGTGTCGTGCCGACTGAAGCCATTATCTGTGCTAGCGCTATTTAACCACAAAGCTAACATTTTAAAGTCGCGTACTTAAGCGGTCTGAAAAGGCTGTACTATAATCTAACTGGCTCCTTAAAGCTACCCAGTTTCCAGTTTACCCACCGCATGACAGAGGTGCAGTCGTGAAAGTAATGACTAATTTATATTTAGGGGTCAGGTTGTATTTTTAGCATTAGCCTCTGAAGGTCTGACTGGCAGACATGGAGACTCGGGGAATTGAAGACATGTTTGACTTTCGTCGGTAAGTCAGCTAACTGCTAAGTAGTGTAAACTGCTCGGTTAACCTTCACTTAGCGCTAATTAGCGCAATAAGCGTTGAAGAAATACACAGAGGATATGGCGTCAACGACGTTTATTATCGGGCAGCTAACCAGTATAGTAGAAGATGTATTAAATAATCTGGAAAACATGCAGCTAGATAGCCGATACTGGCAACGTTATAGTAAACAAGTCATGGATAGCGTTTGACATGAAACCTTGTCCAGTGCTAATTTTAATAAGCACGCCGATCAGTTGCAGCATGAAATGCGTGAACTAGCTAATCTTAGATGTCTGTTGGTTTCATGTATTCACTGCTTGCCTTGTGACAACGAAGAGTGAAGTTTAAGAGACTTACATTTTTTTGATCTAGACGCAAAAGTCAGAGATTATATCTGAGCGCGTGTAAAGGGGAGAAAATAACTGACAGCAAAAGTAGCTGTCGTTGTGTACTTCAATACTAAAGTGTTTTTGACTTGAATAGAGGGCGGACATGAGGCCTGTAGACAGTGGTAATGACGACTAGAGCGTTTATGAGGTTTCGAAATGTTCTCTAGCGCTTGACTGCAGAGGGAATCGAGTAGTGACACGTGTAATATTGGTAAAAACGCTGAAACAAAAGCAGCTCTAACTCTGCAATTGGTTTTCATAACGTGTGTACAGTACTGTGCCTCGAGCCACCTTTCATAGCGTCAGACTTGATTGTAATTTTTTTTTAAGTGGTCTTGAGCATCGGTTCTCCAGGATTTCTGAAGGTCTTTCAACGTTATTCTTTAGACTCTTGCTGCCTTTTCACTCATTTTCAGTCCAGTCCTTGTAACGGACCACTTAACACTGATCTATGATTCATTCAGGAATTAAAACAGTGTTGTGTCTACACATAGCAGACAGCTTGGCAAAAAAACAATGTTAAATTACTTTGTTATCAGCAGTCTGTCACAAAAACATAAAGATAAAAGTTTGACAGATGTAATATAATACTTTTGTCACAACAAGGTGATTCCCAAAGTGCTATTTGCTGAAAATTTGGCATATTGCAGTAACATATTGCAGCACACTATAGTGTGCAGTGTCCAGTTAATTTGTTTTTAGGAAACTGGATAAGGGGAGGACAAAAGAATTGGCAGTGCTTTAAAAATTATCAACAGCAGATGAGCCAGTAAAAGTCATGTCACAGGACCTGAAAGATGCATCTGGCCCTGCAGTTGACCCAAACAACAAAAAGCACCTAATGCAAGGGATGATGTTGTATCTTTACATAACAGAAAACTTGGTAACAAAAACAAGTAATTTTACATTGTATCTTTTGGCACTTTTTTACTTGCAGCCTATAAAAGAAAAAAACTATAAAATGTTCCCATTTCTTTAGTTGAATCTGTGAAAAATGTCAAAAATAACAGTTTGGCAGATGTCGAATAATATGTTTTCTAGAAAAAGGTGATTCTCCTCAAATTTTCATGCCGAGATCTGCTAGCATGAAAATATGAGGAAACTGGACAAGAGGGGGACAGATGAAGTGGTTGGCTTAAAAAAAATTATCTACGGCAAGTGTCTGAAAGTCATGTCCTTGAGAAACAGGAAACAGTCCTTAAGAAACAGGGAAAAAAATCTGCCATAGACCTGACAGGACCTGAGAGATACATCTGCCCCTTTAGTTAATCCAGCTACTGTTCACTGAAGACTCATTGGAAATGGTCTCAGTCTAAGGGTCGCTGTCAAGAAGCCTTTTTTAAGGAAGGGAAAAGAGGAGAAAAGGATGAAGTATGAAAATTACACAAGATCAGTGGAGGACAGCGGGATGATAGAGTAATGAATCCACGTTTTTGGTTCAACTCCTCTTCAGTATGAACAGGAAAGAATTACAACAGTGAGTGTCTGCAGCCACATGAAAAACACAGTAAAAACATACCTGAATAGAAAAGCACAAATTGGAATACGATCAAGTAGAGCTGGGCGATATAAGATTTTTTCATATCACGATATGTTTTTTTCATTTCAGGCGATAACGATATCTATCACGATATAAGCCAAACAACTATATTTGTAAGATTTAAATGTGCGTTGCTCACAAGTAAAATGTGAAATAATCAGCAGCTTGTTTTGATTTAAATATTTATTTCCCATAAGTTCAACAGGGTAGATGTACTTAAGGAACATGAGACTTTTTCAGATAAATAAAGGCAAATATTGCAAACTACACAAAAGGCAGCCGCTAAAGCGTTTAAGTTTCAAAATAGAACAAACGAAACAGACTAAATTGTCAATTCCACTTAGAAACAAAATATTAATTCTAAAAATAAATCTTAGTTTGTTACAGAAAAACAGACAAAATTGAGTAACTTTTGTCAATATCAAATAAACTGAGAACTAAAAGGAAATTCTCAATCTCTCCTTGTTGTATAGCTGAGCTTTTCAAACAGTTTTAACAGTTACTTTAATCTGACAAAAGCCGAATGACGAATTAGAGCTTCCAGTCAGAGATTGAGCATGCACCGCTTTATTGTATTTCCAGACTTGCTTTCGGCACAATTTAACGTGCGCGCTACTCTGTTTTTGTCAGACTTGAAATAACCGAAATACCTCCACACTACGGAACTTCTCTGGCTCTTCCGTTCGACAATCTCTCCGGCATTGGAACCATCATCTGTTTCCTCTTCGGTAACCTTCGGTCACGCTCGGTTGATTTTTCTAGTCGGCACACTCATTTCCTCCGTTACCCGGGCGGCACCGCTGCTTCCCAAACAAATACACATGTGCGGCTTGGCACTTGTGCTGTACGTAACAAGTCATGTG